AAAAAAAGAGAAGAAAAACTTTTTTTTATTTTCCTCCACTTCGTTACAGCTTGCGGCCCCCGATGATCCGCCAAAAGGAAAAAAAGAAAATCAAAAGTAGGCCCAGAAAAAAACATGTGTGCCACCGTGGCGTGAAGAGGGGGGAGGCACAAGAAGTGTCTGTCACAGGACTCTCGCTTGAATCATTGACCGCTGCTCCATAGGCGCCTGTGCGTGGAAGGCATAGAAGGAGGGCTAGGAAAGAGTTAGGCCTGCGTATGCGTCCATGCGGGTGAGATTCATTTATTTGCATTAAGCTAATCCCACTGTCGCGTAACCGGTCCGTTGGGACGAACACCACCCATAGCGGGTAAATATGGCTCATACATCCCATGCATGCCCAACCGCCTCCTCAGCTCCCTTCGCATTCGTGCATGCAGTCCGTTGTGTGTAAACAAACAATGGACTGTGTGTGTTGTGTCTGCCATCCGTCCTCGTTTTTTTTTTCATTACTTTTCAAGTTTTTCCGTTCCTTTCGCCAGCTAAACTGTGTTGCCCTTCTCCCTGCCGCCCCCCTCCCCTCCTCCCCGCAGAAACAAGGATGTATATCCGCGATTCTTTCAAGTTTTTTTCCTTTTATTTTACCTCTCGTCGTTGTTAAAAGCGCGTTTCTTAATTCTTGTTTGCCCGCCTCCCCGTTCGCCTTGACATCATCGTTGTGTCTTCCTTGCTACTATGCCCAGCCCGCCGCCGTGCGGTAACACAGACAACGAAAGCAGGACCAGAAGGCCCATCAACCTCCGCTACTTCAACCACACACCATACAACGCACGCCCAATCACGGAAGTAAAAGAAATAATAAGAATGGGCGGATCCGGCGCATCACCCACAGCCCCTTCCCCCTGTCCCCTGTCTTTTTGTTTCTTTTGTATGCATGTGTGTGGCTGGTGAACACCTTGCCTTCTCCTTTTGGTCCTCAGTTAACCCTCCATTGCACTCTGCCGCGCTTCGCTGCCGTTGATCACTCATCTCATGCAGCTTCCAACGAAATTACTCAACCCACCACATAGACTCGGAGACATATATGCAGATAAATTTACTCATTTATTCCATTCTGCCCTTTATGCGCCAACGAGGTATGGGGGTGGCAGGGGTAGCGAAATTCCCGTGTGTGGACGGACGGCGCTCTCCCACCATTGCTCTGCATCAGCCAGCCACGGCCAAAAGCTGTTCTGGTAATGCTCCAAACGTGGGCACAGGATTGCATGCCCTGTCGCAATGAGAGTCTGCTGCTGTGCCATTGATGCATACGGGGGAATCCAAACAGAGGTCGAAAGACGCTGACCGTAGGTAGGCTCAGCTGCAACCGTTCGATCGTACCATCGCTTTGCAATGTATTGCAATTGTTCCAGCGAAAGTATTCCGTTGGTGACGTTGTCTATGCCTGGTGGCGGGGGTGGCAGGTACCGCATGGCCCGTGGCGGTGGCACGTCGACTAGCACCTTGCTGTTGCGCGAGTGATCACCATTGCGTCCCTTGCGCCGTCCCCGGGTCTCGTTCCGCTCCTTCGGCACAGCAGCCACAACTGTCACGATGGGCAGTGGCCCCGTCACATCATCATGAAAGGGGCCAAGCGAAAGTGTTGGAATGGCGGGCTCTGACGGTGACGCGGCGTGACTCATAGGATTTGACTGCGGACTGAGTCGCTGTGACCCACTCAACGAGTACGGATCATGACAATACCGCTGCGATGACGACGAGAACACCGACGTGGTGCGCCCAAATCTTGCTGCGGGCGGTGGAGTATGACAAGTTAGCGGAATTGAAAGACTGGTGGGAGACAAGTTCCAATCGCCCATGTTGACAATGCCGTTTTGCCCAAAGCGCGGCGTACCCATGCTTGACGTCATCGCATGCATCGGCTCCAGACTCGGCTGGTTGGGGCTGTCATCGCCCAGGCCAGGATGAGACAATGACGTCGGTGGGGTTGGCGACCCAGTTGTGGCAGCAGTGGTGGTAATGCCATCCATGTTATTCTGCATGCTCTTGTTGAGTTTCTTGGTGTTATTGTTATTAATTGCACTTTCCGTGAATGAGTCAGATTGCCCAAAAGACATGCTGTGTACGCGCCTCCTTACCTGTGGCCGCGGTGTTTTTCCTCTTCTTCCCTCTCCCTCGCGGCACTTAATATATAAAACCAACTGTATGGGGAAGTATATGTATTATATATATACTTCCCTAAACTGCGTGCGTTTTTTTTGTTTTTTTTTTTGTTTTCTGTGTAATGTCCAAAGTACTTCGCGTCCTCCACCTTAGTGTTTGGTCGTTACCCCCCCCTTCTCCCCCAGCCGCTTCTTATCGCACTACGTGCGTGTATTATGTAGATGTGGGTAGATGTGAATGTATGGTGGTGTTCACCTAGGGTTGTCTGTCTTCTACGCCCAGAAACGGTGGGTGCACGTGTGCCCCCTTTTTGCTTCTCGTTATCCCCGTCGTCCCTGTTTCTCGCGCTTTATCTTGCCACTCTCTATTGCGCGTAAGTGCGTTAGGCGTGTGGTTGGGTGTGAGCCTTGCAAGTTACTCTCCTCCTTAGTGTTGCCGGCGTTTGTCAGGGATACGACACGCAGCGGAGGACGCAGACGGAGAAAAACAAAGCGAATGAGAAAGAGTGGAGAGCGCCAGTGCGCACGTATGCCAAGGGCGTAAGCGGCAACGAGCACCCACCCACAGACGCACAGGCGGACGTGTGCAGAGGGAGAGGGACACAGCGTCACGGCTGCACACCAACACGCATTCATAAAACAGACAAACACACACACACACACAGAGAAAATGAGGAAAAACAGCCACCTAAAATAGACAAAATAGTCAAGTGAGACGACGGGGCTTGCAAGAGGTGTGCGTAGAGACCTCAACGTCTTCTCCAGCCTGTCGTTTTTTTTTTTCATTCGTGACACGGTGGTTTGCGTGGGCCAAATGCAGCACCACCACTTCCGTAACTCCTTCCTCTTTGCCAGTATTTCGCTCTTTTTCATTGGGGGCATGCTCAACCTCCAACAACACAATGGCACCGAGCCTTTCTACCTGAAGACGTGGTACTCATCGACGCGGCCCTGTGGCACGACGACGGTCTGTAGCGGAATAAAAGGTCTACCGGCCAAAAAGATACCCTCCGCCTCCGCCTGGTTAAGGCGACG